CTTTTCCCCAGGATCAGCCGGAATAAATTTCAGTTATTGTTTATTTAGCCCAATTAATAGAGTTCTATGTACAGCATGCTTTCAAGTCAGTCACTTTCATTTATGCAAGAGAAAGAATCATGAGGAATTTAGGGGCCTTCTAAAACTGGGGCTGAAGCTTGGACTTCTGTGTCTTAAGGCAGCAATCAGACCCATTTTTCCGATTTTTTAGTAAACAATCTAAAAATGCAAAGCATACTTCTTTTGGTTAATAATTCAAAATTCAAGTCGAAAAATAGTTGTTGAAATTAGTAATTTTGGGATACATTTAAATGATTTACATGTTAGGGCATTATGTAACCAGATCTTTTGAAATTTGTGTTAATATTAATTTTTGCTGCTTATTAAGTGTTTCTGTGAAGCTTTTCATAATCTAAATCATTTCGGCAATTTGATCTTTTATCTGACAGTATTATTTCAACTAAAAAATTCATTCTATAATATTAACTGACCAGTTGGTCACAGTATATGCTGTATTTTTTGTGTTTCTGTATAATAAGTATGCAGCAAGATGGTAATACATAAATCAGGTCAACGGTGCCCAAAAATTGAGGATATCTTGGTCAAGAGCAGATACTATACAACCGAAGGAAGTTGTAGGTGATTGTGACTGGCTATTTGCAGTGTACCTCTTAAATTCTAAATGAACTTAACATAATAGCCATTTAGTGTGGTGGGAAATTCAAGGTGAGGTGAAAATACTGAAAACTTCTAGTACTTCTAGTACTAAACTTCTAGTCATTGTAAAAGCTAAAGAAGCTCTAATAATAAAATTATCATGGTCTTTAGATTCTAAATTTATTTTTGGCTTATTCCATTATTTTGAACTACCGTACAAATTATTCTAAATTTTATAAAATTTTTCAAATTATTTTTTAATGCCTATCTCTGTTTTCGGAAAGATTTATTTACTAAGATTTTTGTAGTGTGCATTGGACAAAATAAAAGCATTTTGATGCTAATATGGCTTTGATGTAATTATCTTATATGAAACAAATAAAATTGTGAATTATGTATAATAATTGCTCCTAATTTTTTTAATTTGATCACAGATGAATTTAAAGAAAAGAGGATATGCATAAAAATTGCTTAATTATTTTTGTGCAAAATTCAGTTTCTTTTTGCACTTTAAGGAATATTAAAGCAGTAGAACAAAAATGTGGATAAAAATTACAATCTGTTGTAAATGTATTTCTCTTAATTGGGTAATGTATGTTTTTATTTTCAAACGCATTTATTATTTTTGTGCCATCTTGTATACTGTTATCATCATATAACAAGCTGATAAAAATTTTACTGTTAAGAAAGTATTTTTATTGATTTCTGACTTGTATTTATCATACCGCATAAAAAATTTTCTATAATAATTAAACATTAAATAGCAGAATAAGCAGGAAACATTATTCACTGTGACTTCATTCAAGCCTCAAAGAGCCCTGGGCTTGCAGAGTGTTTGTTTCAAAATGATGCAGGATTTTTATCATACACGCAGTCTGGCAAGCTACCATTTCTCGGTGATATTTTTCTTTTTCTTCAATATATCTTCCAAATTAAAATTATTTGTTACTGATCAAACTGAACTTGCATAACTTGCTTCAAATCATATTTTTATTTTGTAATACACTCTTAGACCAAAAAAAAAAAAAGACGTACCGAAAAGATATAATGCAAATTGGACACAAATTGATATGTATACAGGTTTCGATGAAAAATGCAAAATTTTACATTTTGGTTGCCAATGAATGAACGGTTGTCGCTACAGCACAGCGCAGATCAGATGGTTAGTGTGGATTGCAAGAGGCAGTATTTAAGAGGAGAAATTACGATTCCAGGTCATAAATTCTTCACGAATTTCATTCCATATACTCTGGTAGACAGTAACTGCCTGGCATACATCTCCGCATATCATTCGCGAACGATATGCGCAGATATCAGAATTTGAGAGAGGTCGTGTTGTTGGGCTCAAAGAAGCTGGTTGGTCTTATCGGCAAATAGCTGGACATCTGAGCAGGAGCGATGCCACTATTAGACGATGTTGGCAGGAATGGGGGAACCATGGCCACACACAGCGTCAAGAAGGAAGCGGTAGGCCTAGAGAAACGACAGAACGTGAAGACCAAGCAGTTGTCAGAGCGGCACTCACACAACCCCAGATACTTCATTATCATCGATTATACGTGCAACTAGTGCTTCAATGACCGCAAGGACTGTTCATAGAAAGGGGCCTGAGGTCACGACGCCCCTTGCGCCGACTACCATTGACCTCTGTACAACGTCAAGCCCATTTGCAGTGGTGTCAGGCTCATTCGCACTGGAATGTCATTGACTGGCAGAATAGTCTTCATTGATGACTCCTGCTTTGAACTGAGCCCTGATGACCAGCGAAGGTGAGTCTGGAGATGCCCCAGACAGCGGCGTGATACCAATCTGACTGTCTTCCGACAGACAGGCTGACAACTCGGGTGCCATTTCATTTAATAGTAGGACCACTTTGGTTGTCATCCGTCACAGCCTTACAGCACAGCAGTACATCAACGAAGTTCTAAGGCCCCTTGTGTTGCCCTTCATGTCACGCCACCCTGGGCTTTCATTTTAGCAAGATAATGCCCAACCCCACACTGCACGTTTCTACTGCTTGCCGAACATTACCTTGGCCAGCAAGGTCTCTGGACTCTCTCCTATTGAGCCCGTTTGGAGCATTATGGGCAGGATCTTCCAACCATCTCGGGATGTTGATGATCTAACGCACCATTTGGACAGAATTTGGCTCGCTATCCCTCAGGAGGACATCTGCACCTCTATCAATCAATGCCAAACCAAATAACTGCTTGCATAAGGTCCAAAGGTGGACAAATGCATTACTGACTTTTTCACTTTGTGAAGCTCTATCACTTCAATAAATCATCCAATTTTTCTCAAACTGTAATCGTTTGTTTTTCTGTACATGTACATCACTTCTACCGATTTTCGTCCCATTCGGATAACTCCTTCAAAGTGCATCATATTTCTTATCTAAGAGTATGTATCTAATTGATGCCTATGTAATTAACGTATAATTTATATGATTAGTATTGTATCTGAGTTTTATGATTTTTGTGAATTATTGTATAATCAACAAAAGATGTTCCTGACGTCATATATTCTTCATTATATAGAATAATTGGTACTTTTCTTTGGCATGCTTTTTTAAATTACAGTTTCTTATTATAAGAACATTATATAGATGCACAAACACTGGCAAGTGTTTGGCTTCTCTTTCACAAGCACCAAAAAGTGTGGCTGTGCATGGTTGGAAGCTTACCGAATAATCACTTGCTTGTCAAATAATATAGTTTTTAATTATTTGCAAGAAGGAACTCTTAGTTAGTGTGGATTGCAAGAGGCAGTTTAATTTGTTTTTACTTACTGAGAGTCAACTGAGTGCTGCCTTATAAAGAGTGAAAAAATATGAAAAATTGGGAGGAGGGGGTTAAGTATTAAGCATGAATGATGTAAGATATTAAATGGTGGTTTATGTATGTATCTTGCAATATTGTGTAGAGTGAATCACAAAATAGTGGCCTGGTTCAGACTATGAAATATTAAATAGAACACTATACACCATAAGTTTGTGCAAGGGACATTGGCATGGTAAATTCCTATGCAATAATTCCTCTCTCATGAGTAACATTATCAACGCTTCCTTTTCTTCTTTGACTGCATTGGTTGAATTGTAGAAGAATTATAGGGAATACACTAGTAAAACTAATAAAAATGGGTATAACTGAATTTGTTAAATTATGTACACAAGTTTATAGAGGTTGGTGGAGAACATTTTCAATATTTACTCAGAAGTTTATTAGCTATTTATATTAGTCTTTGATAGATTATTGTAGAAGTTAGTGGTGCCACTTTTTGTTGCCCATTGTCTATTTAAAAAAGTGTAGCAAATTATTATTTTCTTTCAGCTATTTACATTGAAAAAAAAAGTCATGTAAAATGTTTAATCTTGGTTTCCCCCCCTCCCCCGTTCAAGATTGCTAAAAGCAGTTTATTGGTAATATAAAATACAAAACAAAGTTGACAGATACATATAGATAGTGATCTATGTAGAATACAATGGCATAACCAGTTTTTCCCCGCCTTCGATTTTCTTAGCTGCTAACATTTCAGACTTTTATTAAAATAAATATGTAAATTTGATAGAATGCACGAGTTAAAAAGTTAAAAGTTGCTTTTTAGCAGAATTACCATATGAAAATTGATCCATGATTGTGTTCTTTATAAAATAGATTAAATTTTTTTAATTAACAACTTGAAGAGTTATTCTGTTCAGTTTTGTCCATGATAAATAAACTTTGTTTCCAATCAGTGATGTATAAGAACTTTATTTTCAGTATTATTAAAAGTGCACTGCTTAATATAATGTTAGTTTATTATTTAAAAAGAACACATTTTAATTTAACTGCTTTACAGTATTTTACAAAAACAATTACATTTTATATCATGAATTACCATTCATGATATAAAATGTAAATAAAATAGGCTTTTAACACCATATTTCAGTTGTGGAATTTCGTTACTTTAAATATGCATTTTCATTTGCATCCAAAATAAAATCTTATGATTCTGATAAAATTTTACAGTGGCTACAAAACTGAACCTATATTTTGATGTTTTCCGATTAACTATGTTAAAAAGTGATGAAATGCAAAAACACATGAAACTTTTAAAATAGAAATTAATTTTGAGTATTAATTTTATTTAGCTGTAATTTTACAACCAGCAATTTTATGATTAGGAGCAATAGAAAAAAAAATATATATATATATATGCTTGACTTTCTTCTTTTTCTTATATATGCATATATTAATTAAAAAATCTTTTTCTGATTTTTCGAGATGTTAAAACTTCCTAAAATGTTATTTAAAGTTTTCAATTGCAAATGTTACTTTTATTTACTTTTTTATCTTTTCTTTTAGGATGGAGTCTTCTGAACAATTTCCTGAAGAAATTAGTGAATTCCATGACTACATACAATTAGATGGCAAAGACATTTCAACTGTTGATCATTCAAAAAGCAACATCTTTGAAAATGTAGATGCCATCGACTTTAGCAAAGTGTCCCCAGATCCCTTTCTGGCAAAGGGAAATTCCAATCAAATTTCTGGGAATCCTTTCCTTATGCAGGATGATCAGAAACAAGTCCTAATGACACCAGGTTTGTGATTGATTTAACTTAGAAATTGGAAATATGTATAAATACTTTTTTTTTTTTAAATTCAATTAAGTATTTTTGCCATGTTCAGTTTTTCCAAATAATAAGTGGTTGCTAAAAAGTCTTGTATTTATTGTTTTCTAAGAACTTAAAGAGCTAAAAGATTTGTGCTTAATTTAGTTTTGTAATACACTATTTATAATGTGAATTAAATGCATGTTATAGTTGTTTAGAGTGTAGCTATTTATAAAACATAAATTATTAAAAATCCAGTTATTAATAAGAATTTGTAGTATTTTTTAACTTTTTTATTTTCCTGCCAATTTTTTTAAAGTAAAAACAAATTAGTAGCAGATTGAAATTGAAATAAAGTTTTTTGAGGTATGTCTACAATGTTTCTAGATTTTAATGAACTGTCTGCAAACTGCATGCAATATCAACATACTGTACTGCAAAATGCATGAATTGCGTGCGAAGTTTAATTTATGGATAAAATTTTCAACTTTGTTGTCAAAAATAGTCTTAAGCATTAGATATTTTGATTTGTACAAAAAATATCACAAATTTAACATGAGTGCATTTCTTTCAAATATATATTTTATTAATTAAGACACAATAACACGCCGAATAAATACTAATTCAGAAGACTTCTGAATTAGTATATATTTTATTGTTCTCACTCTATCTCTTAGTTTCAGTATAACTTCGGAAAAAATATGCATATTCCGAGTGTTGAAATGATTAGGATATAAATTTTTTCCATTCATTGTATATATATATTAGATTGTTGTTGAAATTATAACTAATGATTAAATTTATTTGGATACTTCTTTGTTAAAGCAGCTACCACAAACTTTGGCAAAATTTAGCAACATTTAAAATTAATTTGGCGAAAATTTTAAGAAAAAGGGGGAGCCAACTTCAAAAAATGGAAATTGCAATTGAAAAATAATAATTTTTTATATCATTGTGGAGGCTGTAATCCAACAACTGCTGCTGTTATAGATTCTAATATGGTACTTTCTTATTTTACTCTTATTTAATTGTGTATTGCATCATCTGATAGAAGTTAGTTCTTCAGCCTAGAAATATGAAGCACAAAGCAGTAAGAAAAGAAATTCTGTAACTGTGAAACCTTTTTTTTGACATGAAGACCCTCCTTCCCCCAGCCTGCAGATTTTCAGTTGCATTCTGAAATACTTTTATCTCCCAATAAAATAGTTGCCATTTTCGCTCTCTGCAGATGGACCTTGCTCAGTATGCAAAATTCTGTGTTTTTGAAAGAAAAAAAGCACTGTTTTTTTAAGTTAAGTTAAAAATGGGGAAGAGAAAGAAAAAAAGAAAAGATTTGTAGGAAGTTACTGCCTATTTTTCATTTCAAGTTGATGGAAAATTAAAAGTAATCATTATTTTTTTTTTATTTTTGAGGAGGGAGTAATGAAGAAACAATAATGCATAGTCTAAAGCAGAGTTTCTCAAATTGTGGGTCGTGGAACCTGTAGCAGGGAATCGCCAAAACTTTTAGCAGTTTCGATATTTCATTAACTTATAATAATATTACAATTACCAAATATTTTTGCACAATGTATCTGAAAATAGATAAAGATTAGACAATACGGACAAAGAAAAAACGAAAACGTTTCGACACATTCTTTTTATAATATAAACGTTCATTTTACTTGCCTTGCAGGTGACACTGTCAATTCGTCAGTTACTTATTTAAATTCTACACATTGTTGTATGTCTTAGAATTAGAAATGACCTGAAACTGCAATATTATATTACAGTACAAGTGAAAAAATTGACAGTTTCACTCACGCATGTGTCAGATTTGCGCAATGCGGTTGTAAAAAAAAATCTCTGTGATTAAAAGGGGTCGTGACTGAAAAAAGTTTTAAGAAGCCCTGGTCTAAAGTAAACAGGAAAACCAAATGTGTTGCATGTTATATATTTAAAAAAATTCCCAACTGATTGTAAATTTAAAAACTTAAAACAATTTAGAAAAAGAAAAATATTGAATGGGTAATATCACATGGGCAACTTTTTAATCAGAACAGTCTGAAAGTTTAGCACGTTCCACATTAAAAATCTACCAAATAAGTTTACCGGTTTGGGTAACAAATTGAGATGGCCACTTTAATGAAGAAGTATCTTTATTTGAATATGTTTTGATTTTTTAAATTTTTATTTGTTATTAATATTATTATTATTATTTTAGATTTCTTCAACTGAAGTATCTAATGCTGGGCAATGAAACTCTAAAAGTCCTATTTTGTATGGAAAACTTAGAGAATATGGAACTTTTATTCAGTCAGGCAGTTAGTTTCCTGGCATTTTTACCAAAGCTTTTCTTTGCTGCTGTTCATGTTTAGTTTTGTTCATATTAGTGTTTTGTACTAATTATTTTTTGGGCTTATTTTAGCCAATTTGTGATAAAAATATTTTCCTAAGTACTATGTACAAGAGTTTTTAAAGGCAGCTATGTTCTGCATTTCAACTGTCATGTGAAAGCTGTTACTTAAAATTTTTCTTTATCTTCCCTCATTAAAAAATCAAATTTAAATATAATCAGCACATCCAAAAGTTATTCTTTTGTTAAAATTTTTAAATTGTATGTTGTAAATTATAACTTCATGCTTTTAATGTTGATAATTTCAAGATTTGTATTTATGTAAAATATGTTGAAATCTTTTAAAAGAAATTTTATCCATATTTCATCTTCTGAATGCATCAGGTTTGGCCTTAAGGTATTGTCTAGTCAAAAGGAGAGTATATTCTGTCAGAAAACTAATCTTTTGACTAAAAGTTTTTAAATTTGTAATACTTCTTAACACATATGTGTTTGAGACCCATAAAGTCAGAATGCTGCTCAGTCATGTATTTAAAATATAGCTTATTCAAGAAGATTGCTAAAATTAGCTTCTACAGTTCTATAGTAATGTTTTTATCTTGCTACTTAATTTATGTAAATTTGTTTCCAGTGAAGTTTTCACAGCTGTTTTCATATCCTTAGTTTGTTGTTTGTAATATATCAAATATTTCTTTAATAATTTCCTAAAATAATATTTTGCAGAAAATTGTTAAATTCGTCAAGGTATTTTTTTATATTTTAGCTCTCTTAATTTCATGTATAATTTGTATTCATTTTGTGGTGTGTTGGAAGTGCAGTAGCAGCTTCTGATATAAATAGATCGTATCATTTGCTTTGTGTGTAGGTTATATTTAATTTTGTATTTTCTGCCCCTGAGTATATGAGCTGCTGTCTTTGTACCAGTTCTTTTTTAGCTGGTGTAACAGTGTAAAGAGATGAATAAATTATATATGCATTTTTTAAAAGTTTTATTCAGTTTGTTTCACCAAGGGACATAATATGCAAAACGTAGGAATCTGTAAAGTACAAATTCACAAGAGCATGATGCCAAATATATGCATTTTTGTGAACATAAGTTTTATGTTTCTTCAAGTGTAGAATTTGGAAGCATAAAATTTTATGTGTTTATGAATTCTAAGTGTTTGTAACTTTGCGAGAAAGGGGGAGGTTATAAGAAAAAATTTCAAGTTATGATGTAAGGGCGCAGACTAAATTTATGTATTGTAAATAAAGTGCATATTACAGTAAAACTTTAATAACTCATTACATATTTTGATTTCTGATTCTCCTAGGTTTTTAAATAATAGAAAAAAAAATGTTATCTTAAGTTAATGTTAGCAAAAGATAATGTGTCATACTTGACCATATCCCAAAATAAGGGGCAGTTGCACACCAAGTAAAACTGAGTATAAAAAAACGCTTTGTTGATAAATATAGTATTTATTTTAGCAAATGGGCACATTTTCTATTGTAGATGTACAAATACTTGATATTTTTATGTTTGTTATCAAGCACCCATCAGTGGGAAAATGTCATCAATACTTTGAGGAGATCTCTGTGGAATTTGTTTCATTTGTGTTTTCTAGCTGAGAAACAAGTGTTCTGTCTAAATTCTCTGCATTGTGTTAGTGTTCTTATAATGCCCCCGAGATCTAGAAAATTCTAAAGTTAAAATTCTTTGCAAAACTTCTAATGGAAAAATTTACTCAAAAAATTGCAAAATATTCTGAGGACAACCTCATCCTCCCTCTTTCTCCCCCCTTTTTTTTAGTCCAAATTGGCCTTTGTCCCTGAATGACTATTGTTTTTGTTTTGTGGTTTTACGTCGGAACCTTATAAACAGCATATCACTTTTCAAATCATTGCCACCAAACACTATCGCCCTGTAATATATCAAAAAAAAATTAAATAATGAAGAATCTGCATAAATGTATGTATGTTTCTTGCATTGTGATAAAACAATGGTATCTAAAGCCATGCAATTTTGAATAACATAATCCTACTGTGGATATGGGCATCTGAAAGATGAAATTTGGAATTTGTTTTATTATCGATTTCATGTTTTTGTAAAACTTTAACGAATTTTTGATTAACAAACTCAAAGATTTAAGGCGAGTAATGGCAACACTCTACGGGGGAGGGGGGACCTTTTTATCTCCAGTGTGTGGAATTGTGTATTGGAAATTCTAAAGATATGCTTATTTAAAAAATATTCTGTGACGTTGCTGTTGAACTGAATTTTATGGTTTAAGTACAAAGAATATGGTATTTAATAAATAAAGGTAACACACAAAACGTTAGAAGGAAGGTCCACCGGAACTGACGTGTAACTGTAATCTATGGTGAATAATTATTTTCACAAGGAACTATCACAGGGTTCGTAGCGGTCCTTGTAAGTGCTTATAAGTCCTTATATTTGAAAATAAAATATAAAGGCCCTTATAGGTGCTTACTTTTTCTTTAAAGCCTTTATTTTTTGTTTTTAGTGCTTATTTTTTTACTTTTAGTGCTTTTTTTTTTTTTTTTTTTTTTTTTTTTTTAATGAACGTGCTTTTTTTTTCCCTGTACCAAAGCCAAAACTGAATAAACAACTTTTCTTCCTAATATGAAGTGTCAGATGGTGAGTCATACTCCCGGAAATAGCTTTTACCCCTTTCTGTGCATTAACATAACCTTTGGTGTGCACGAAGAGTACAGACAGGTGCCCGTCATTCTCTTGGTCAAAGAATTGCGAAAGCAGTAGAAAATTCTGCTACATTCGGCATTCTTTTCCTCCCACCCAAATACTACATACTTTTGAATTTTTATCAAGATCTTAAAAATTTGCTTTCTCGTTCTGCTTGGTCAGTTCATATTCGTGTTCATTAGGATCGTTATGCTTATATTATGAGCATATGTATGAATGTTTATAATAACATAGTTGCAGTAACTGCTGAAATATAGTAAACTTCAAAAAATGGTTGTGTTTTAACACAGATTAGCTTTCTAAGGAATAATATTTGGAATGGCTTAAATAAAGGGTAAGTAATCAAATGGTCAAAATAATTTCATTTTTTTGGTCAATACATTATACAGTACGAAGGTTGGGAGGTCTCCCCTTTCTCTGCAAAATCTTGAATGAAACTGTTGCAGCTCGCTGCAAAACAAACAACACACTTTTTTTTTTTTTTTTTTTTTTTTGGTCACTTTCCAATCTGGATTGAATAGGACTAAAAGTTCTGCGGTCTACCAACCCAAGCGAAGAATGATTCTATTCCGGAAATTTAGCGCCGTCTGTTGAAAATTAGAATGAAAAACACCCCAGATTGGTAATTCTCTTTCTTTTCTTTATTCAGTTCTTTATTCTCCCAATACCAGCAGTTGTTGATTCCGATTGCGTAATCTCACGTAGGGAAGAATTACCACACACATATTGCGCAATAACGTTTGCGATATTTTGCAGAAATAGTTAATTTTGATGTTCAGTTCGAGATTTGTTTATGAACACTTAAGAGTTTTACTGTGCTTGCTAAGCAGAATATTTTTTAGTTCCGTTGGCTTATTTTTATATGATGCACATATTGAAATGTCAAAAGCATTTATTTAGCGGAAAATCTAAAGAGCAGCTACAGTCTACCCCCCTTCCACTCCTTCAAGTTACGCTCGACTGTCCGAATATTCACCAATTTCCAAGTATGCGGGTTAGTTAAGCTTTTACTGTTAAAGATGACTGCATGAAGCAAATTTCTGTCTTCTGATTTCAGAAATGTTCCTCTTTTTACTTAAATTACTTTGCTTACAATATCTGTTAAGAGAAAACTGATATACAATGAAAATTTAGAAAATGTTCAAATTTAGATTTAAATTATTTAAATATCAATATTAGTGGAAAAATAAATTGTATTTATTATTAGGTTCCAAGCAAATACAATAAATATGCCTTATTATTTATTTTGTCTATTTTGAACTGAAATTTCATCATTAAATCTTGTAATATAGTTTAGTTCTTCATAGTTTTTTCCCTCTCATTGTAAACTAGTTCTGTAAATTGAACTATTATTTAAAATTAAAAACAACAATAACAAAAAAGTAATTATTTTCCATGGTTGAGATAATGCTTATTCTCTCTTAATAAGTACTTCATTTCTCATATTTTAAATTACAAGTCTAATTTTTAAGGTTATGCAGTTGTGCATGATGTAATTAGACAGGTGCTTATTTTTTTTCTTCAAATGTGCTTGAAAAGTGCTTATAGGTGCTTATTTTTTTAACTAAAATGTGGCTACGAACCTGTATCATTATTTTGTGTTTTATGATCTATCATCGCAAAAAGTGATACAAAAAAATTCAACATTCTTTAATGGATTAAAATATCAATTTCAAGATCTCTGATGTTTGTTCTAATACAGCGCATTGCTATTGAGTGTTTTATGATATTCTGAGTGTTTTTCTTGCTACTTCGCCACCCCTTTGGACGTAATTTAAAATCTGAAACATTTCAGATTTTTTTAATATTATTATTAAAGTAGGCATTACTATTTTTGTGAAAGATAATTTTCAGTCTTTGAATCTTCTGGAAAGAAAAAGCATACCTAATTTTTCAAAAGTGCAATGCTGTTGTCATTAAAATTGTCTTAAGAAAGGCTGTAGATACAAGTGCCCAACATACGAGTTTTTGAGATACAGTCAGTCACTATGTCCAGTGTTTGGCCTGAATTGCGAGTTAAAATTCGAGACACGAGCTAGCATTGGTGACGTCACAGGCAGTTGGCGTTGCAAATCTGAACCACCAGTCAGATTTGCGAATCTTGCGCTTTGTGTTTTTTATTGGCACTGACAGTTATGTAACTAACTTATCTGTCATATAATGGTGATTAAAAAATGGGTGATTGATATCTATGGGATGAAAGTGTGAAATAATTGACAAATATGAGCAAGGAGTAAAAGACCTCGCAATGCAGTATGATCGTACAGCTTCTACCATATGTACTATTCTGAAGCAGAACTCGATAAAGGCTATAGCTAGGGGTGTTAAAATTATTTCAAAGCTTCACAACTCTGTCCACGAAAAGATGGAGAAATTGCTGTTATTGTGGTTGACGGAGAAGCAGCTCGTACCATCAAAATGTTGTAATTTTTTTAAAAATAAGTGTATTATATAATCCAGCTATTTAATGATTAATTTCATTATACTGAATCAAGCATGTGTATGAGAAATAAGAAAGAAACAAACATAGAGCCAGCATATGTGTGCTGTAAGTTATGTTAATTTAATACCGCAAAGCATATTAAGGTCTGATTAAGTCTGATTAAGGGGATGTCTTCATGGAGCTATGGGAAACTAGCTCATATTCACGTTACACATAGAGAAAATTAACCATGCAGTCGGTCCGTTTGCCTGGGTTCAAACCTAGGCTGAAGTATTTAATCTAAGAGAAGGCATGAGTTTTACACAGATTTGCTGCAGCAGAGTCCAGGTACTTCAGCACAGGAATCCTCACAGAAGCAGTTCAAAGCCGTTCGGAATTGGTTCAAGAATTTCCAAAAAAGGACTGGCATTCACTCCATTGTCAAGCATGGTGATGCAATGAGCTGTGATTATAAAGCAGCTGAGCAGTTTGTGAAAAACCTTTGCTGAATTGGGCAAAGCCAAAGGATGCATTCTCCAGCAAGTGTTCAACTGTAACGAGACAGAGCTCTTCTGGAAAAAGATGCCAAGCAAAACTTACATAATTGTAGAAGAAAAGAAGATGCCAGGTCACAAGTCCATGAAAGAAAGTTTGACATGCAAGTGGGGACTGCAAGGTCAAGCTGCTGCTCGTATACCACTCAGAAAAACCCAGCACTTTCAAGACGCATAAGGTTTTAAAAAAGAAGCTACAGGTTATATGGAGGGCAAACCGAAAGGCATGGGTCACCAGGAAGTTTTTTTGTGAAGTGTATCAACTTGGTCTTTGGTCTTGCCATTAAGAAATATCTCAAGGGT